TCGTTTCCACGCTGAAAAAAGTGCAATCGATCCGGTTTTCCGGCTGGGGGTGGAAAGTGGTGTTGGGGTTCAGGGACCCCAGAGAGATGGGGTTCCGGGAGAAACACACCCAACCCACAAACAAAGCAGTTGAGGAGGAAGAAGAGAAAGTTTTTCAGTTTGATGTTAAGCGAGAAGGTCATGCCAGAAAGCAAAGTGCTGTGTGTTTTGCCAAGTAATGCCTAAACCGGGCCTTGAAAAACACGGGTGTCCTCCCCACATTTCCTCAAAAGGTCTGCACGCTTGTCCGTCATTTCCACTGGTGTTAAGTGTGTAGGACGTTTACCATTTACGACACTTCAGGGGGCTATTCAGAGACCAAGTTAGAGCTGCAAAAGAGTTTCTGTTCTAATCCTCCCCTGCGATTTCCACCTCTTCCTTTACACTCAACACAGAAGATGTCTCTGCGGCCCGACGCGTTCCGTGTTTCATCACTGGCCAAAAGCGACTTAGAGGGTAGTGTGCAGGCCTGAGAAGAGGAGCTTCAGGCGAGAGTCATTCTGAAAGTCATCATTGCCCAAAATAAATTTGTTCACCCCTATTAAAAGCTGCAACAACAGTAAGCCACCTTTTTGGTTTCTGATAAATAGCAAGATGGAAGTTAAACAACAGTCTTTAAGTAAGGATTCCTAATCCGGTAAAGCTGGAGGGAAGACGGGGTTAGCCTTTGCTGTGCCGTAAAAAGCAGACATTTGAAACTGCAGTGGAAGGCTTTCATAACAGAAACATTAGCTTCATTGTAGCTTGTTGTGGAAAACAAGGATCTTTTTAAAGGTGGTTCAAAAGCATCAGGGCTCCACAATTTTCCTTCCCCCCCCCCCAAATAGTGCTTCTACAAGCATGTTGGCCAAATCACAGAACCTCCCGTTCCAATGCTTCATTTTTTACTAAAGCACAGGAAACTGTAGAGTGCGGTCTTTGTCCAGAAAGGTAGATGTGAAAGTGATGGAAAGTGACATCTGGGAAAGAATCTGCAAGCCTGCCTTAATGCCCAGTGGGAAGCCGCACACGCAGACTGGCCCCAGGACTGGGAGCCTGCGAATCAGAGCTCTCCTAGCAACGTGAAAATCCGTTTCCTAGCCTTTTTCAGCTTCCAGAAGCCACCCACATTTCCTGGCTCATGACCCCTTTCCTCCCTCTTCAAAGCCTTCCATCTCTCTGATCATTCTTCCGTAGTCACATCTGTCTCTGACTGATTCCTCTCCGGCCTCCCTCTTCCACTTCCTTGTGATGACATCGGTTCACCCTGAAAATCCAGGATAATCTCTGTATTTTCAGATCAGTTAATTAGCAACCTTAAATCCATCTCAACCTTAATGCCCCTTTGTCATGTAACCTAATATGTTCACTGGTTCTGGGGATTAAGACATGGACATTTTGGGGAGGACTGTGACCCTGCTTACCTCATTCCCCTCCTGAATGACATCTGGGCAGTCGGAAGTAAGCAAATGTGAAGACGTGCTCAGTGAACATCTTCCCACGCTGGTCTCTGTGGAGGGGTCCTGGAGACCCCAGAAAGAAACCATGCTCTACCAACACCTTCATTTTAGCCTGCAGAATAAAAATCTGTTGTTCTAAGCTACCAATCTGTTACAGGAGCCATAGAAAACTAAGGCAGCGGCATTTTCCAAACATCGTGTAGTAAATACACGTGTTATATCGAGTACCATAAGCCCCCATTTCCAGATTGCACGTGAGCAGGGAGTCTGACCGCAGGCGCTGGACTGCGTCCCAGGGTGCCAGCTCACCGGGAGGTTCCAGAGTGACAGGCCTCTAGAAACTCTGAGACAGTACCCTAAAAGTTCAGTCTGCATACAGTCTCCAGTTTAGGGGTGAACCCCATCCAATTCACACACCATTTCTTAGTGCCCATTCTCAGACTTGGTAACCGTTCGTGCTGGCAGCCACTGAGTGGAGACCCGGTGCAGAAAAGGTCAACGGAAGTGAAGGAGAGTCTACTGTCAAGAGCTGCTGTGGAAATTCTGTGCTTTTCGGTGAGTGTTCTTCCCAGTAAGGCTGCCCAGCCACCCAATGTTTATAAATGAATTTTTCTTTTCACAATAAATAGAAACACACAAATGGAAGAGTCAAGGCCATCTGCGCAGCATTCCTGGGATCCAGGTTGGTTGGCAATGCTGGAGTTCGATCGCCCTGCACAGGCTGCTTTTTGCTGTTTGAGACAGGTGAGCATTTCCTGGTGTGCCCAGCCCCAAGGTCGGGCTCGTTGCACAGTGGGGAGGAAGTCTTTTCAAAATCAGTAATAAATATTGGTGCTGACACATCAGTTGTAGCATTAATGTGGGAGGTGTCCCTGAGTTCATGGGCCAAGAGACTGCTAGACATTCATGAAATGACTTCAGGTCTCGTGACTTCTTATGGGAGGAAGGCAGTCCGCCTCTTCTGGGTGTGGCACTCTGTGGGATAACATCACTGGGCCAGACACTGTGGCTGTACTAGAGTCCACAAGCAACTGTAGCTCTTTGAGGATCTTTGTGAACTAACATTCTTCACAGTAGCTCCAAGGAGCTGTGTATCAAAGCTGTAGTTTGTGCATTGCTTGGACAGGGAAAAAGACCCCTGGGGCCTCCCTGACTTATCTCCTTCTGCTTCCTAATTCCAAATCGAGGTCTCCAGAAGGATATGAGGTAGAAGGACCACTTTGGACAGCTAGCTCTGAATTATATTTATGTTATATTTATACTTAGAGCAGCCTACCACACCAGCTGGAGCCGATCTGTGGCCACCCATCACTTTCAGAATTACTCTCTGAGGCTATTCACTCGAATGGCCTTTGCCCCGCAGTGTTGAGCTCTGCCTGGTTTCCTGACATAATTTTTGCCCTTTGCCCCTAGTTGGAGGGTGTGGTCACTGACTTACCTGCCCAGTTCATACCGCCTGAGTCCAGTCCATTGATTAGCTCCCATCGGATGTGGTTGCAAAGGGCCTGAGGACCTATGTAGAATGCCACAGAATCCCTCTGTGGACCATAAACCAGATCCTGGTGTGGTTCTGGCAATATCTATGCACTCCAGTACTGAGCTACACCCGCCTTCCTTTAGCAGAAGAACAAAAGTAACAGCCTTGCAGCCTCTAGACCTGACAGCTAGAGGCCTGAATTCTGGGCCTTTGTCATAGGTACACACTAGCTGCCTCAGAGATGGAGCCCATTTAACAAGTGAAGCCTGACTTTGTGACCCATCTAGTCCGGGTTCCAGTGAGAGACTAGGCCAAGCTGGGGATCTTGTTGATTGGTGACGGGCAAACCTTGCCACATTTATTACAGGTATTGATGGACATGATGCATGAGATGGGTGTACATCCCAGGCTAGACGGTGGTGTGTGGCCAGCATGGCTTCTCCCAGCGTGCACTATCTCCAGGAAGCAGATAATGGTGGGAAGGCTATATTCTTCTCCTTCCCGTGGAGTTATGGAGCTTCTAGAGTTTTCTTACAGGAATAATTTGAACTGTCTAAATCTTGTTAAGGCAGTGACTTGGGACTGCAGCAAAAAGTGAGACACGTACCAAAATCCACCAGCAAGCGTCCACGTGCTATTTTCACAATTGAAACCAACAAGAAACCATATACAAAGGACGGGATTAGTCAACCTGTGCTTCGACTCCCCCACCCCTTGCCTTTTGGTGCAGCTAGAGGACAGTGAGCTCACTTGCCATATATGTACTCCGCAGTTGTTGGGAGACAATTCCCCACGGTCTGTCACATACCTGCATTCCTTGTGAGCAGTGACTGACTGACTGCCCTTTGTTCCCGACTATCTTTATAAGATAGTGTCTTTCTCAGAGCAAAGTGCAGGCATGCTTGCTGTCTGTTATTTAAGATCTGGTTTCCTAAGCTTTGGATTCCTCTCTTGCGATGTATCTCTCTGTGTGTTCAGGTGTCACCTGGCCCTCTCTGCATTGTTTTTGGAAATTGGGGCTCAGAGAACCAGCGTTAGGACATGTCGACACTCTTGCTACTGCTATTGCTGTGAGTCAAGAAGTCCTCTGTTTCTGACCCAGAAGTCTTGGGTGTTCTGCTAGTAACCATAAAACGATGGCAGGCTAACTTGTTAGTTTGCGAAGGAGGGTAAAAATCTCAGAGCATTCATAGTTCTTGGCGACCTCATATATTTTTCTCATGTAACATACTTCCTCACCCACCAACTAATTCTCTCATGTCTGTGATCCTTAAAGCCACCCTGGTAGTTTGGGCCAAGAAGAAAATGCTCATCAGAGGTTGGGACAGACCAAAGGATCATATTAAAGAGCAAGACTGAAGGTAGGTCAGAACTGAGATACCGGGAAACTTGGTTTAAGCCCAAGACCAGAGGAGGATCATTTTAATTCTGGGCCATTTCTTACTATATTGTTGGTTATATGTTCTAGCCAACAGACAGGTAATTCTAAACATGCTCAGGTGAACAAATTCATCACTTTTCTCACATTTAAAATGGCATGAGTTGGATTAGATTATTTCTGAGGTTCCTTCTAGCTATAAGATATATGTTTTATGAATTTTTAATAGAGCAGCCTGTCACACGCTTAGTATCATACTTCACTTAAAGTAATGATTGCAAAGAGAACTGTGGGATATAGTGCAAAGAACATAGCATTAGACGTTTAGAAATCTGAATTCCAGACCCAATCTGCCACTGCCTAGCTGTGCGACATTGGACTTGTCACTTTCCTTACCTTAAGGAGCCAAGTGTAGGATGTACACACAAGCTGTTTCTAGGTAGTTCAAGACGAATGTGGCATTCAATTACACAGTGGGAATAAGTAAGTTTCTTTTCAATTCTCTTTTTATTTTCCTGATTATTCTAAAAGGAGGACCTCAGTTTACTGTTAGTGTGTCTTTAACAGCCCTTTAATACCTGCTAATCTCCCATTTTGGCAAAGAGAAAATTCTCAAGCTCAGAAAAGTCCCAGGAAGTCCTGGCTAGAGAACATTAAAAACATTGCCTAATTGTCGTTGCTTTATTTATTTTTGTTTTGGTTTCCATTTACAGTAAATAACATAAGTTTTCCATTTATGGGAACAATACAGTTTCTTTTAAAAATAAATTTATTATAAAAGTGTTCTAGAATTTATTGAATGAATGGTTACACAACTCTGGGACTATACTGAAAAATCATTGAATACAGTGCTTTATGTGGGTGAATTGAATGATATGTGCATTAAGATCTCAATAAAGCTGTTTTTAAAAGCAAATTAATTAAAGTAAAAATGGGGACTAATTTCAGTAAAACATTAAGCAAAGAATTGTGTAGGTGGTCAGCTGATAAACAGAAAGTGGTACAGAGAATGCACACCGAAATTCAGGAAAACGCTGGTGGACTTCAGAGAAAAGCACATTTGTTGGCAATGTGATTTTGGACAAATTTCTGTATCTTTCTTACCCTGTGTCCTAGTCCACAAAAATGTGAATAATAATCTCTCTCTTGCCCTGAGCGGTTGTCTGTTTGTTGGAGCGTTGTCCTGTACACCGCAAGGCTGTAGGTTCAATTCCCGGTCAAGGCACTTATCTAGGTTGCAGGTTCCATCCCACTTGGGGTACGGGCGCCTCTGGGATGCAATCAATCCGTGTTTTTCACACTGATGTTTCCCTCGCTCTCTCCTTTCCTCTCTCTCTAAAAAAAAAATCAATAAAAACATATCTTCAGGTGAGGATTTAAAAATAATAATAATACTTCCCTTGATTTGTTAAGAGGAAGATCACATAGCACCAACACCGCCCCCCCCCAGCTCAGGGCCCAGCACATAGAGGACCCCTCATAAGGGAGAAAGGTTGCTGACCTCAGTGAGCACTCACTCGGTGCCAGCCCAGGCCTTTCACACGCTAACTCCCGCATCCTCACAATAACCTGTGGGGTAGGTGCTGTGATTCCCTTCAATAACCTTGGAGTAGATATTGTTTTCCTCATGTTACAGGTGAGTGAGCTGAGGCTCAGAGAGATTAAGTAACCTGCCTGGGGTCATAGAACTACCATATTTTGCCATGTATAATGGCACTTTTTGCCCAAATTTTTGAGGAAAAAATAAGGATGCGCATTATACATGGTCAGCACGAAAATCCCCCATGTATAATGTGGATTATACATGGGAATTAGCACTAAAACATGAGTGTGCACTATACACAGCAAAATGCAGTAATGAATGACTCCAGATGAGGTTCAAACTTCAATCCATCTGAGGTCAAAGCTCTATTCTTTTTCCTTCACGACATTGCTCCTCCTAGCAATCTTGAAGCCAGACCTGATAGGACCATTGTGGCTCTAGGTAGGGAAAGGGGGACACAGGGGGGGACACATGACCACAGGGAAAGGGGGACTCTGCATCTCTGACTTGCAGAAGAGCATCCTCAGTCTCACTGCCAGTCCAGGACAGCCTTGGGGACCCGGGTTCCCAGCGCAGGTTTCCTGTTGACCCCTCACCCTACTTGCCCAGTGGAAAATTCTCTCTTCTCATCCAGCCTCCCAGAGGCTGAAGTCCTTCTGTTGGTCTCTTATTGCTGTTGATGAGTCCCCGCTCCCTTCTGCTGGACTTTTCTGCTACCATCCACTTGTCTGATTAGACTTTGGTCTTTTGCTTGACATCGGACCAGTGCTGACCCTTGACCCTCTGAGGCTCGCCAGGGCGTCTTGGTCTCCACCAATCTTCTGATTTTAAGGTGACTTCCTCTACGACAACATCATCAAACCTGGGCTACTTTTCGCTCGCGCCCCCGCCAATGCCCTCTGCAGGCCGCCGTCCCCTCCTGACTGGACAGTCACAATGGCCTTCAGTCTTGGTTGACTCTATTCCTTCTCCAAAGTATAAAAACTGAGCTTTCTGAAGTGCAATCTGATTGTGAAACTTTCCTGCTGATCCTCAGCATCCTTCTGCCTTTCTTTGGATAAAGGCATGACCCCTTGGACTGGCTTTTAAAGACCTTTGTGAACAGGTGCCTGCTGAACACTTTAGCCTCTTCTGTCTCTGGTCTTCTCTCCCCTCACTATGAGCCAGTTCTGTTGACACGTGTTACAGTCTCTGAACGCTTGTAGATGTCCTTGGTAAACAGCCAGTGTTTGCAAAACAGTACTGAATACACCCTGGCCTCTTGCCTTCAGCCTTTGCACGTGTCATTCCCTCAATCTGAAATGCCTTTTCCTCCCAATTCTCCTTTTGGACTCTGCTATGTGTCACCTCCTCAAGGAAGCCTTCCATGCCCTGTCACGTTAGGTGTATTTTTATGTGCTACGGTAGTATCTTGTGCTTCCCTCTACGGTGATGAGGCAGAGCTATAGCGGAAGAGCTGGAAGCGCTGGCCCTGGAGTCAAACTATATGAATTTAAATTCTAGGTATGCCACTCACCCTAGCTGTGTGATCTTGGGGCAGTCACTCAACCTCTCTGTGCCTCTATTTCCTTCATCTGCAAGATGGAAATAATAGTAATACCTACTAATAGGGTTCCTTTGAGCATTAACTGAAACAAGGCATAGTCGATGGCTTAGTGCAGAGTCTGGCAGATAGTGAGCACTCACTCAATAAGTATTAGCTAGTATTATCTCAGCATGCATCACAATCTATTGAAAACACCAGTTCCCTGCTTTGTCTTCCTCACTGTACATCTGGAGGGCAGGGAGTGTGTCTCATTTACTATTGACTCTCTCTCTGGGTGCCTAGCATAAAACCAGACACATATAGTACCCAATACATATTTATTGAATGAATGAACACATGGATGAATGAATGAATAATGAATGAATGGATGGATGTCTTGATGTCTTAGCTTCCTGGTTGAGCTAAGCTGACTTTGCCTGAAGTTCTCTTTGCATTCTCAAAACCAGTTTTCCTTGCTCTGGCCTGGGCAGGCCAGAGCCTAAATCTTGTCTATGACATCGTGGTTTGAGATCTAAATAACTAGTGTCAATACAAGACAGAAATGCCCCCAGGTGGTGTAGAAGGAAAATATCTTTCACATAGTTTGTCCTCTCAACACTTCCCTTTGCTCTAGTTTGTCATGACTATGTGTGGGAAGCACCCAAACAGAGCAAGTCATTCATCTCTTCAACAAGGGTTTGCCGGGCCATGTTGGGTGCTAAGGATGCCAGGGCCAGTAGGGTATGAGCTCTGCTTCCAGGAACTTCCTTAGGGGTGTCTGGGCCCAAATCTGATTGGCCAGGCAAGGAGACAAGCTGTTCCATTGCAGAGTGCACTCAGCAGACGGTAGGATCTGACCTAGCCTCATGGCTGGGAGCCAGGGTATGAAGGCGGGACCAGGGAATCTGGTCCTCGGGGTCTGGAGCAAGTCAAAGGTCAAGGCAGGAAGTTAGCCACACTGAGAGGAGGCAGAGTAGAGTCCAGCAGCTGAAGCCCAGCACCAGTGTGGGGACTATTGTCTGCTTGCTCTTTTTCTTCTTCTCTCCAGGGAGGAGCCCAGGTCAGAGAGAAAGCCACTCAGGATGTCCCACACCAGAAGGTAGGAATGAACAAAGCGACAGCAGGGGCCACTGGCCAGTGTTTAAAAGCAGTTTTGGGTCTCCGGTAAAGACCTGCCTCAGGAAGACCATGGCTGTGGGGCCGGATGGCCACGCCCACCCCTGGGTCAGCAGCTGGCAACAGGACAAGGTGGAACCGAGGCCTGGGGCAGGAGGCCTGGAGCCTGCCACCAAAGTAGCTGTGCGACCTTGCATAAGTCATTTCACCTCCCAGAACTCCATTTCTCCATGTAGACAATGCTCAGGGGTCCCAACATTTGAATATGAAAACTTCTTTCTCAAAGCAAAACATTTCAAAGACTCCACAGGATGGCAGTGGTAATTTTGGTATCTGTGGACCCAAAAGATGCAAAATGATAAAAACTGCAGCCACTTTTGTGTCTTTTAAAGGGATTTACATTTTATGAATTTCAGAAGCATTTACTGTCATTTACAAAAATTTGGGGTGCAACATCCTTTAGGGCCCAGAGTCACAGCCTCCATGAAAACTCCAACCCAAGTCTAGCCAGTAGAGCTTTCATCTTCCTTAGAGCTCACACAGATTAGTCACCTATGTCTCTGACTTGAAAAATATAAGAGCCGCCAGAGCAAGGGCTGGTCGATGCCCTTCAAACTTTTACTTATTATCAAGCCCATCAGTGATGCTAATATGATGGAACAAAATTTGAAAGTAGGGGTGATGGGTGACATTTGTCATGTTTTGGCTGTCCAACCTCAGAATCCCTTCCCAGGTGTGCAGAAGACTCCACCCTAGGAGTCTCCGTGGAAGGTAGAGCCCACGGCTCACCTCTCACTGGAGAGGCTGCAAATGCCAGACACCTACCTCCCAGCCTCCTTCATCTGCTGTGCTTGGACATGTGATCTGGGCTCGGCCAATAAGGTGCACCATCCTGGGCTCTGAACCAGGGACCACCGAGGGAACTCCTCGAAGAGACTTTTTTGGCCCTGACTGGTATGACTCAGTTGGTTGGGAATCATTCTGCAAAGCAAAATTCTCCAGTTTGATTCCTGGTCAGGCACATGCCTGGGCTATGGGTTTAGTCCCTGGTTGGGGCATGTGAAAGAGGCAACCAATCAATGTTTCTCTGTCACATTGATGTTTCTCTCCCTCTCTTCCCCTCTCTCTAAAAATAAATAAATAAAATCTAAAAAAAAAAAAAAGAAGAAGAACCTTTTTCTGGTGCAGATGGCAGCAGCTGTGGTCGCCACGTCCGGGTTCCGGGGAGTCAGCAGCAGCAGGGTCGTCGTGCCGGGCCCAGCCCTGGCTGTGGCGCAGGCTTCCCAGGGCTGTGCGGCCGGGGCAGGGCTCTCTGGACAGCTTCCGTGCCCCACTTCTGGCCACACTCCTGGCTGCTGCCCAGCGTCCTTTGTTCTCGTTCCTGCCCTGAGCCTGGCTCTCTGGCCTTCCTAGAGACTCTGTGGGCTACCCAACATCCTCTCTGTAAATTCCTCTTATGCTTAACTCCTCCATAGCCGGTTCCTGTTGCATTTTTAAGTCAGAGCCCTGACCAATTTACCGCATCTTATGTCAGTCTCAGCATCCAACTTATTTTTGCATTCTTCTTGGTCACACCGCTCTAAGGAAATTCTGGTCATACCGATGAACAGTGCCTTAGTCCATTCAGACTGCTGCAACAAAACACCACAGACTGGGAGGCTGATGCACAACAGAAATTTATCTCCCAGAGTCCTGGAGGCTGGAATGCAAGATCATGGTCTGATGAGGGTTCTCTCAGGAGTCGCAGACTGCTCGTTGCACAGGGTCCGGCAGAGGTAGCACCTGCTTGAGTATAGTTGGTAGGGTAATAATATGGGTGTCATCATTTATAGTTTTAATTTGAACATTTCACCTAATATGGTGTGCTTGAGTAATATCATTCTATTACAGAATGACATGCTCATGGTTTTTCAATAAAGGTTTTTGTCATTTAAAAAGAGGCGTTATTTGTGCCAGACCTATATTTTTCATAGGACAGAAGACACTAGGGAGATCCATGGGTCCTCCTTTATAAGGGTACTAATTCCAATCATCAGTGCTCTGCCCTTATGACCTAATCACCCTCAAAGGCCCCACCTCCTAATGCCATCACCTTGAAGATTAGGATTTCAATATATTAACTCTGGGGGGATACGAACATTCATACCATAGCAGACGGTTATAAATAATAATGATAGACACCATTATGCAGCACCCACTATGTGGCAGGCCCTATTCTAGTCATTTTGTGTATATTAACTCACTTAACAAACCTTTGGGGTAGGTCCGCTGTTAGCATCCCCTTTCACAGGTGAGAAAACTGAGTGCAGAGGGGTGGAATATTTTGCCTGAGACTGAGGATTTAAACGAAGGAGGTCCGGCGGCAGGATTTGTGCTCTTAACTCCTATGAACAGCATTTCTTTCTTTCTTTCTTTCTTTCTTTCTTTCTTTCTTTCTTTTTACAAATTGTCTTTTGAGATTAGAATAATTGGCTTTCATTAAACCAATCTAAAAGCTAGAAAGAAAAGTTGTGGAAATTTTTGTTTCAGAGTTGCATGAGTAATTACCAAAATACCCAACAACTAACTGCTCTTTATCCTCCTCATCAACATCAAGTCAAGAAATAAACAACTAAAACTTCCGGCAAGCACTAAACAAACAAGACAATGTTGTCACTCCACGTTCCCTGTGACAAGCTTGGTGTTTGTGGAGCCGGAAGGACCCCCGTACAGGGAGTACTCAGCCCCTCGTTGCCCTGTTCTTTACCAGCAGACGTGCTCAGGCTGGCACAGCGAGGAATGTTGCAGGCGTACCCACTGTCAGTGCCAGCCGGGTCTCTGAGACACCAGGAGGGGCTTGTGCCGAAGTCCGCACAAAACTGAGTTGATTTAAAAAAAAAAAAAAACAACCTCACAGGAGTCAACAGAAAGCTCCCAATGGCCCAAGCTGGAACAATTCAAGGAACAAAATGGGTTATATTAGCTTGTAACCCAAAGCATAAATATCCATGAGTCCACACTTACATGCATTTTTTTAAAAAGAAAACTTCACGGTGGGGAAATCAGACAAACACTACTTCAGCAGGTGATGAAGATTGACATCCACAGTCACAAATCATGTTGTAGCCGAGACCGTTGATATGACGTGATTAAAATGGCACTTTACCTCTGTGGCTGTCCTCCCCCAAACCCACAACCCCGGTCCACCCATGAGAAAAATAGATAAATCCCAAAAGAGAGATTGCAAGCAGAGGAAGACACTCAACCAGTGCTCACAAGGTCATCACAGACAAGGAGAGTCCAGAAAATTCACAGCCGAGAGAAGCCTAAGAAGACCTGATACCTTAATGCAATGTGCTGTCCTGGGTAGGATCCTGGAGCAGAAAGAAGGGCCATTAGGGAAAAGCTAAAGAAATCTGAGTAAACCGTGGGCTTCAGTTAATAATAATGTCTCAACATGGATCCATCAACTGTGACGAATGTACCATATCAACGAAAGATTTTAATAGCAGAAAGTGGGTGGTAGGGAGGGGGAGGATAATATGGGAATTCTGTACTATCTACTTAGGCCTGGCTGGTGTGGCTCAGTTTGTTGGGCATCATCCCACAGACTGGAAAGTCGCAGGTTTGATTCCCGGTCAAGGTGCAGGCCTGAGTTGCAGGTTCAGTCCCTGGTCCGGGCACATGCAGGAGGCAACTGATCGATGTTTCACTCCCTCTCTTACTCCCTTCCTTCCCCTCTCTCTGAAATCAATAAAAAAAACAATATTTTTTTTCTTAAAAAATAAAGTCTATAAATAAAAAAGAATAGTAAAACTGACTGCCATCCCATGGCGATGCAGTTTGAACCACGTGATGGGCTAAACGTGTTTATATAATGCATTCATACAGTTACAAGCTGCACACTTTTTAAGAGCAGTTTTTAAAGTACTTAAACATTTTTTAAATGAAATCCTAATCTTCACATCGCATGCCCAAATCACCTCGGAGCAGCTGAGCGCAGTCTGAGCCACGCCGATGAAGGGGAAATCACAAGGAATGTCCTTTGTCTCTGTCCCTAAAACTCTCTGGATCTCGAAGCTGAAGGAAAACCTCCGTACCTCAAGACGAAGCACTTAAAAACAATGCAATGACTTCCCTTCCCCCACCTCCAAGACGCAGGGTGAGCAACTGTTTGAAGCCAAGCCTGCAGTTGTCTTTGTCCTGCACTTGCCTGTCAAGCCCAGCGCTCCTCAGCAGCAGGAAGGGCAGGAGGCTGGTATGAAGCAGGGCAACAGATGGCTGGGACGTGTCCTCTCAAAGCTCAGCTGCCCTGGCTGGTCTGCCAAGCTGTGTACATTTCAAACGTTTGAGATTCAACCAAAAGAGACGAGTAATGATTTTCAATCACTCGCTGAGACACATGGCTAATCCTCGGGTAGCCAGAGAAGAGTCTTCTCAAACTCCCTTAAACCCGGTGGGGTAAACAAGAGGCCCTGTGTGCTTTCTCAGCTTTGTACCCAGATCAGGCCATGCTGGCGGTTGGACATTTGTCCAGAACTCCAGTGTGCATCCTGCTTTCTATGCTTTTAGAAAGGGTGTGATGTTTTGGCACACGTGTTTATTTGGGGCGAGGGTGGGAAAGAGAAAGCTGTTTGGTAGGTAGGTTTGGATCCTGAGAAATTATGCACCCTGGCGTCTGCCGCCTGGTGTGGAATTGGGAGATCTCGAGGTCAGTCAATTCTATTTCCCTGTCCTGATTCAGGCTCTTCTTAGTCTTGGGCCATGCTAATAGCCTCCTACAGTTGCCTCTCAGTCCTGCATCATTAGATCAGGGAAAGGGGATCTCAGGGAGCATATGAACGCGTTTGTTCCAGGGGGTTGCTATAGTTTAAACAGTGGATTCAGAAATGTTTGGTCTCTAAATATAATTTCCCACTAAAGGGCTTCCTAAGAGAAATGTCTTGTTCAGGTCTGGGCTGGAAATGTGTAAGATGAATCTGGAACATCTTGTTACACCAGAAGGCAAAGGGACTAACAAAGACTATACTGCAGCGGCATCAAAGGACTCAAGCCAAGTGCAGGAGGTCCCCACTGGCCAAAGATGGGACGATCTGAGTGTCTAAAAGAGTAATAATAACAATGGGTCAAAAGCTAGACATGTCATAAACCCTTAGTTCATAATGATACTTTTAAGGAAAAGAACACAACACATTGGTTGCCTCTGGAGGATGCTAGGGAAACAATTCTTCTGAAAACTCATAAATAAAAAAAAGAATTAAGCATGTATCTTGCTTTTCTTATAGGAAAATGATCAGACAAACCAAATAGTTGATGAGGGAAAGCTTCTCGTTATAGACATACTCCAGCTTAGAAATGAAGGGGAGATAGAATTAGAACATCATACTTTTACAGCCTCTAGGGGAATAATCAGCCTAGCCCGTGACCTCCATCACTAGCCACTAACACTGCAAAAACAGAAATAAGGAGACAGTAGGTGCCTGTGAGATGTATTTCTCCATGAGATGTACTTTTACTAAAAATTATGCATTGTTTGTCTTCAATTCCAATTTAGCTGGGCATCCTGCCTTCTTATTTCCCAAGCACTGCAACCATAGACGTAGTCAAAAAATTAAAGGTAGGTGCCACCACCGTGAAAAATAATCTGGCAGATGAGGGTCATGTTACTCTGACTCCAGGCTTCCTCTCGGGTCTCATGCTTCCTGCTGACACACTACAGTCCGGCAGCACCAGACGCACTGAACTGAGGCTCCCGAGAAGTGATCTTGAGAGACTCTTGAGATAAGTCTTTTTTTTTTAATCAGTCAGGCTGCACGTGGAGGGGTCTGGAGGGGAGGAAAGAAAGAGCTAAGGGCCTGCCTTTGGGGCGGGATGTGGTGACAGGCAGTGTGGGAAAGGAGCAGAGACGCTTTACAAAGGGGATGATTGCAAGTTTTGTTGCTGGCGACTGGTGTATGCCTCTCCATTGCCTGCTCGAGGGATGCCTTGGGAGCAGAGTGAGCTGGAAGCTGGAACAGGTTTCCAACATCTAGCAGAGTGGCTGGAGAGGTCCTGGTTGCATTCAAGCAATACCACACCACCTTTGGTTTATAACTCTCTCCCCACCGTAAGACCTTCAAGGGTAGGGTCTGGGTTTCCAGGTTTAGATTTCCCATTGTTTGTCATAGTGCCTGTCACTTCCTACCTATCTGATGAATGAATGAATGAATGAATGAATGAATGAATGAGTATATCCCTCTTCACACTTTGCAGAGATGGTCTTATTCTGACATAACAAAATTTGGTTATTAGATGTGATTGCCTCATGAAACACTGATAACCTTTGTCATTTCCATACACCACAATGAAATATTTTAGAGTTTGAAACAAAGGTTGGCTCGTGGAAGCAGAACCTCGAAGTTATTCTCCAAGGCATCTT